AAACCCAAAAGGTGTTTTTTGCCTGTCAAATGATCTCTTTCAAACTATTCTTCACGCGTTCGGTTCTACATACAGCATCATAAATATAAGTATACATTTATTTATACAAGTAGAATAAAAAATGACAACCTTTGAATATGCAAAACAAACAGAAAAATCTGAAAACTATCAGGAAAATTTATTTTTGTTCTGACTTTCTCATTTTTTTTTCACTCATTTTGAGTAGCACTAATAATAAGTTTCGTTACGTTTGCTCTATTGGTTAAGAACCGCAGTTTTGCAAAAATCAAACCAATTTTTCTCAAAACTCAGATTGTATGACCTAAGACTTTTTTGGAATGCAAATTCAGGCCGGTAGTACTTTAAAGTTATATCATTTTAACCGCCCGACAAATTTTTTATAGGTCGTCAGAAAATTCCCGAAAAACACAAGCTACGGTATGGTCCTTCCAACTCGCTTATTGGGATGGGGGAGTCGGAATAACAAGAATGTAATGTCTCTGTACGTAGCACAGAATATTCCAACAAACGTGCACAAAAGAAGAAGAAACTACTGCTCGTGTCAGGGTGGCGCTTTGAATGAACCATATGCTCTTTAAGGTGTCTGAATTAATTTTCGGCATAAAAAAAGAAGTTTATATTTTTATTGAAAATTTATTTGTTGTGCAAATTTTTCTCCCTCTGCAATATCGATTGCAAATTTAGTTTTTAATCCCTTGTAATGGTTTATTTAGACTCATTAGCTTGCCTCAAATAAGTTTGACTGATTTGACGCTTACGCTACGCGTTGATAAAACACTGGTTAACAGCGCGGAAAAATTATCCCAAATGCCCAAAAAGTCAGATCATCAATTCATTGCAAAAAAGAATCCCTGTGAGTTATCATCAATTTCGAGCGCAAGGCATCAGTACTTTTTTAGTTTTCTGCAAATAAATTAGCCAAAATTTTTTGCTAATTAAAAGGTCAAAATCGATCTGGAGACAAAAAAAATTAGCCAAAACCTAAGTATTTTGTAATTTTTATGGAAAAAAAAGAAGAAATTTTGGGTTTAATTGGTTAGCTTATATATATTAAATTGAAACTGCAATTAAAGTTAAATTCTCCTAGTTTTTTTTAAAACTGCTTTAAAGAACAAACAGGAAGCAGACTATTAAGCTGATCAAATTCTTTGCTGATGATAGAACTGATCACGAAAATAATCAGACACCATTTTTTCTCGACAATGATGCAACTTTTTAGATCAAAAATTGGCCGGCCCTTTGTTACAAAATTTTTAAGCTTAAGAAGAACATGCAATTCGAGAGCCTTCTTACCCTTGCTCAAAGTGAAATCGGAAGCTTATTGAAATCAACGACAAACATCTTAAGTCGCTGTCTTCTGCTCAAAAAAATTCAGGTTTATTGATATCATAGTTTGCTAAGTGTGAAGGATATTTTATATCTCATTGAATTAGGTAGAAGCTTCAGCATGAATAGATCTTCTTCGAATATCCCTTCCCAGTCATTGTTCTAACTTTCGTAAACGAAAGGACGGAATATTTGTGCTCGGGGTGGTTTTTTTCTTCAGACAAATTTCGACATTTTGACTAGCCATTTTGACAGAACTTTTTTCTATATCATTCAAAAGGTTTTGCTGTTGTGAGCTTAAATTCTAAAAGATTTCTCACCTGTGATTGTTTTTGGTAAAGTTATGGGGTTTGAAAATTGCCCTTTTTGCCACTTTGAGACAAGCAATGCGCGATATATATCGCGCTATTAACGCGAGAGCGGAGATTTAATCCGTCTTACAAACCCTTCCAGATTGGTTGAAAGAAGCTTATTTGCCATGATTGAAATGTTACCAGGAGTGAAATTGTGAAATCTATCTCTTTGTACTAAAAAATGTGGCGTGTGGGGGGATAATTTTCCCAAAAAACTTTTAAAATTTTTCCTTTCCATTTTTATTTTTTTACCTTTAATTTTTTCTTGTTATTACTGCTCGATAGGCCCCAAAAAGGCAGTCTTGTTATAATTTGTGCCTTTCTGTAATTGCATAAGCAAGTACGCCGCAATCAATAATTGATTTACCGCGGGCTTTTTGTTTGAGATATTTTCAAACTCTTACAAAATTGGTACAAAATTCCCTAAAATCTGTTTTGTTAAGTTCGAAATTCGTCTTCATGTTTTTAATTAGCTTTTTGAAAAAATAGAGTAAATACTGAAATATCCGTAATCTTTCAGTTGCTTAATACTGTCGTTTCCTATTTAAATGTTTATGATCAAACTTTTCAGACAAACTCTTTTGTTCCGACTTTCGAAGAAAGAGGAATATTTATACCTTGTGTGGTTTTTTTTCAGTCATTTTTCGAATTGTTAACTAAGCGTTTTTGACAAAAGTTTTTTTCTAATCTGAGAACTATTGTTAACATAAGCTCAAATTTAAAAAGACTTTTTACTTAAGGTTAATTTTTGTAAAGTCACGGGCGTTTGAAAATTGCTAATTTGGCCAATTTGAGATAAATAAAGTGCGATATATTGCGTACCTTACGAACGATAGCACGCCTAAGAAGCAAAATTAATACTACAATTACTTTGAGTTGTGTAACACTGTCTTCCCTAAGAGTAGTGTTACCTGGTCTTTTAACATCTACTGGTAGTAGTAACCCGATCTTGTATTACAATGATTATAATTTGGTTAAACAATCAAAGTGGCTGATATCCATTGATTGCATGGTCTAAATTTAACGCAATGTATTTAAAGTTATTGTTTTTCATCTTTTTTTCTGAACTCCTGTATGTCTTCTTACAACTTCGTGATCTCCATTTTTTCACGAAGTATTTTGTTATGTAAGGTTGAATGAGGAGTTAAGTTATATTGATTGTGATTATAAATATAATTCTAAACGTTGGGCTTGGTCAAATCAGCTTGTGATTGTCCTAATTACAAAACAACCAGTTCCTGTTGTTCCGACTTTCGTCACAAAAGTAGCGGAGTAGTTGTGCTCGGGGTGTTTTTTTCCTAAGACAGATTAGAATTTTTGGTGTTTTGACTAGTCATTTTTGACGGAACTTTTTTTACAACATTCAAAAAAATTGTTATCGTGAGCTTAAATTTGAAAAAATGTTTTGCCTGTGATCAATTTTCGTGAAGTTATGGGAGTTAAAAAATTGCCATTTTGGCCAATTTGGGACAATTAACGCGCGATATATTTTGCGCTATCAACGCGAAAGCGGAGAAATTAAACAGTTATAGAAATCGAATTGGTTGAAGGAAGCTTATTTGCCATAAATGATTCGTTACTGGTGCGAAATCTATCTTTTTCTACTTAATATGGCGCGTGGGTCGATGATTTTCCAAAAAATCTAAAATTTTAAAAATTTTTCTTTTCCATTTTACTTTATTACATTTATTTTTTCATGTTATCACTGCTCTAACTGTACCCCCCCCCCCCCCCTGTTCCCTGTTTCGATTTTCAAAAATTAAACTTTGGCGGCCTTATTTTCAATAGCAAATACAATTTTCAGAAAATATATATATTTAAATTTTTTTCACGTGGGTATTATATAAATAGTGAGTAATACAAATACGAACGCGCAAAAATGAAAACCCACTTAATTGTTGACATTTTTGAAATGCATATTTTATACAGAAATTGTTGTCAAAAATAATACATGCATACGGGGGAATAGTTAACAAGCTCCAAAAGGGGGGATTTGTTAACAAAATCCGCATGAAGCTATTAAACCAATGCACGACAACACTTTTTCTGAAGAATTTGAGCGTTTCGTATAACGATCCTTTCTCCAAAAACAAACAAATCTAAGGCTTACCAAAAGTTGTGTAACTTTTACCGCAAAAAATTTTCACCTTGAATGTTTGTTTTTTTTACCTCTTAATATCAAAAACAAAAATATAAATAGAAAGATGATTGATTCAATTAATAAATATCTTTGCTGACGTATTTTTGAAAAGCTTTACCTTCAGAAATGGGTTGAAAAAACGTTATGGGTTGAAAAAATTGTTATGGGTTGAAAAAACGGACATTTTAATGTTTTAGTCGTCACGTAGACAAATTATATTTGTGCTCTCAACCGTTTAAGAAAAAAAAAATTTTTATGAATGAATGGTTCCCATGATTCGGAAACTGTGTTATAGTTGATTAAGTCAACCGCAATTCTTAATAGGAATCTTTTAGCTCCCATCAACATAATTAGTTGTCCTCCTTGTCGTTAAAATTTTCCTGTACAAAAAAAATTAAATGAAGTAAAATTGAGAATTCACCTTGCCATACTTTCATCAATCCATCATTGGCTGCTTTTGTTCAGAATGAAGTACAATTCTGATTCCAATGATCCGATCAGAAAGCTTTCATTTCAAACAATTGAACTGCTACAAGGAAACAGGGAAAATTACGGAAAGCAAATTAGATGTCATCGTAAAAGTTACTTATAATTTTACCAACAATTAAAAAGTTTAAAAGGTTTGCATAAAAAGAATAAAAATAGATTTTTGAAGGAGCAAAAAAAAACATTCTCAATTATCTTTTAAAAACTGTCTCAAAAGTTGAATGATGTCTGAAGAAAAAGTCACAGAAAAAAAATTCTTCGAAAGTTGAAAGAAAGAAAAATGATCTCAAAACATCAAATCAGTTTCGAAGCGTGAACTTGAAAGAGACGATCAGTTTTTCATTCAAAGAAATTTACAGCCATTGGTTTTAAAACCAATTTTTTGGCTCGAGTCTGATAAACTTTGATTCATCACCTAAAGTTGAGTATTAAGAAAGTTGTAGCTTTTAAGCGAGCAAAATATTAAATATTTTGATTGCATTTGCCATAAAATGATCTTGACAAGAAATCATAGCCGTTTCAACAGCTTAATGCGGATTTTTGATGACACGATAATAACCTATTTTTGTCAATTCGTCTGCAGCTTGGAGGATTTGGTTCTTTCATTTTCATTGTCCACTGATCCTTACTCGAAATTAACATACAATGTTGTCCAAAAATAAATTCATCCATACCTTGTGAATCTGGATCTAGTACAAAAAACATTGCCGCCACGCTATAGATTGTAAGTGCCACCCATAATGACGTCACAATACGCACACTCTTGCACTTTGTTGACCCCTGCAGGGCAAAGAATGGATCTCGGATGGCCTTGAACCTCTCAACAGTCAGGGCAAATATGGTCAAGATAACAGTAAACATGCCTGAAAAAAAAACAGTGTGATTACTTGCTGTGTCGTTAAAACTGTTGCAATGCTCCAACTTGCACAGCTATTCTATAGTTAAGGTCAAAACATAGGTCCTATTAGGTACTATTATACGATATCCGTTTTGACATCCGAATTGGCGTCTAAGGCCTCCAGAAACATTTGATTTTCTGTTTGCAAAAAATTAGAAATTGTAACTTATTGCATTCAGCTAATTAATATGAATTGAACTTTAAAAAAAGAATATAAAATCAAGCCACAAAGACAGAATCTGAAAAAAATAATTTTGTTAAAATTAGTGTCTTCACTTTGATTTTAATCATAGGATAATTGCATCAAAATTTCTGAAAAGCAAGTGGTCTCGCTGACAAAATATTGCTATAGCTAATGCTATTTTGTGAAGTCCTTTCCCTTCCAAAATAATGGCATTAATAGCTACAAAAAAAGGTGATTTATATTAGGAATTGCGCGCTTTCAAATAAATTTGGTAACGAAAACTTTGATGCAATATAAAAATAAATCATGAATTGTTCGTTTTTTTGCCCTCTAACAGTAAGCACTGTACAGTTATGTGTTAAAATTTGAGTTGCATCAGTAATTATTATGACAAATTAGGTTGCACTAAATGAGTTTGAAAAATAGTGAGTGCGGGAGTTTTTGCACTGCGTGAATTCGCTTTATGCTTTTAGCATCAAGTTTTCAGATCGCCTAAACTATTATTTAAAACATACAAAAAAACGTTTTTTTTTCTGCGTGGTGTGATAAACGAAAAAACAAGAACCTGGTAATTTTCGACTATCATAATAGAGCAGGCCAATTGGAAAACAATTTTGTAGAAAAATGACTAGAAAAACGAAAATAAATATATTCAAAATTTTTTTCCATAATGTTTTTGAATTTTGAAGTTTTTGTTTATCAAATTGGCGCTAAAAAACCCAAAAACTAACTTTGTTAAATTAAACTAAACTTTCACCGCTTAAATTGAGCATAAATAAGGTATTGTAACCCTGCACTCTCACATTATTAGCATGAAAATAAATCAAAAAACAAAAATTTCAAACTGGTTTTCCTCGGCGCTGAGAAAAACTTTTCAAAACTTTTAAATGTCGTTCGAATGGAAGGGCTTTAATATGATATACCACTCATCTCTTTCTAATGCTAGTTTGTGGTAGCTGATTTTGCGTAGAAAGAAAAAGAAAAAGAACTTAAACTCACCCTAACACAAAGTTCTTCCACATTTTTATGGTCGGAACGAAAAAAAAATAAACCACAACCCAATACAAAGTTCCTCCCCATTTCAATGGTCGGAACAAAAAACTAAAACATAATCCAATACAAAGTTTTTCTTCACAGTTTTCAAATGGTCGGAACAACAACACGCGAAATTGGAAGTCGGATCAAAAGAAATGTTTAGATATTCCTGAAAAAATGTTTGCGCCGCTGCAGTTGAAACAATTGGAAATGCGGAAAGCTCAAAAAATAAATCTAAAAAATCTTTTGAAATTCGATTCAACACAGCTTACCAAATTTTCTTTTTTAATTTAAGTTTTATTGCAAATTATTTAATTCGTTTTTTGCATGCCGTTGGGATATTTTGAACCAACAAAACGAGACGCGGTTCAATATAAGAAATAATTGGAATCGTTTCCCTGATTTTTTTTCTTTCGTATTTTTGCCCTCTAACAGTAAGCACTGTACAGTTATGTGTTAAAATTTGAGTTGCATCAGTAATTATTATGACAAATTAGGTTGCACTAAATGAGTTTGAAAAATAGTGAGTGCGGGAGTTTTTGCACTGCGTGAATTCGCTTTATGCTTTTAGCATCAAGTTTTCAGATCGCCTAAACTATTATTTAAAACATACAAAAAAACGTTTTTTTTCTGCGTGGTGTGATAAACGAAAAAACAAGAACCTGGTAATTTTCGACTATCATAATAGAGCAGGCCAATTGGAAAACAATTTTGTAGAAAAATGACTAGAAAAACGAAAATAAATATATTCAAAATTTTTTTCCATAATGTTTTTGAATTTTGAAGTTTTTGTTTATCAAATTGGCGCTAAAAAACCCAAAAACTAACTTTGTTAAATTAAACTAAACTTTCACCGCTTAAATTGAGCATAAATAAGGTATTGTAACCCTGCACTCTCACATTATTAGCATGAAAATAAATCAAAAAACAAAAATTTCAAACTGGTTTTCCTCGGCGCTGAGAAAAACTTTTCAAAACTTTTAAATGTCGTTCGAATGGAAGGGCTTTAATATGATATACCACTCATCTCTTTCTAATGCTAGTTTGTGGTAGCTGATTTTGCGTAGAAAGAAAAAGAAAAAGAACTTAAACTCACCCTAACACAAAGTTCTTCCACATTTTTATGGTCGGAACGAAAAAAAAATAAACCACAACCCAATACAAAGTTCCTCCCCATTTCAATGGTCGGAACAAAAAACTAAAACATAATCCAATACAAAGTTTTTCTTCACAGTTTTCAAATGGTCGGAACAACAACACGCGAAATTGGAAGTCGGATCAAAAGAAATGTTTAGATATTCCTGAAAAAATGTTTGCGCCGCTGCAGTTGAAACAATTGGAAATGCGGAAAGCTCAAAAAATAAATCTAAAAAATCTTTTGAAATTCGATTCAACACAGCTTACCAAATTTTCTTTTTTAATTTAAGTTTTATTGCAAATTATTTAATTCGTTTTTTGCATGCCGTTGGGATATTTTGAACCAACAAAACGAGACGCGGTTCAATATAAGAAATAATTGGAATCGTTTCCCTGATTTTTTTTCTTTCGTATTTTTGAACTCGTATCTTTTTTTTCTCAAAAGCTTATTTTTGTAGTCTTTGGACATTGGTTTGAGATCTTGTGAAGCAATGTATCTTTTAAGTGTCACCAGTCCGCGAATATTTTAAAGATTTCTGCGAATAATTACCAAAATTTCTCAATCACCGACCGCCCATGGATCATAATCAATTATATTGTCATAATTTGGTCAGTATCTATAAAATTACATAGTAATCAAATACAATTCCTTAAAAATGGATTACAGCCAAAATGTTTCTTATATCAATATATTCCAATAGATCCATTAGACCCCCCCCCCCCAGTTTACCCCCCCCCCTTTTAGTTGGGGGGAGGTAAAAAAAATTGAGGTGACGTTGAGACATGGCATTTAGTAAAAGACATGGCAAAAATTTTGCGAAATTTCTTTAAAAATAATTGATTATATCGCCCCACCCGTTTAACAGCCCCCTCGCCAGTTTACCACAACTGTCATTCGCCCCCCCCCCCATATAGTTGAACACGGGGGGGGGGGGGGTTATTTATTCGTTGGTTTTGGGGAGGGAATTAGTGATTGACACCTTCAAGCTTTCCGCCCCCTCTTTAGTTGGGGGGAGGTAAAAAAACTTGAGATGACGTTGAGACATGGCATTGAATAAAAGACATGGCATACTTTTGTAAACTTTCTGCAAAAATAATCGATTATAATGGCAATAGAATCACTTTTGTGGTTTGCATTTTACATCTGTAATGAATTATAATGGGTTATTTTTGTCTCGGGAATCCATTATAATCAGTTAGAATATGTAGGAGCTCGGTGCGGGCAATTTCGTGATTAGTTTTAACGTTTTTCACTGAAAACTAAGTTTCCAGATTAGTTTTAGAATTGTTTGCTGAAAATTTAGTTTGACATAGCACAAGAAAAACTAAATTGACAAAATTTTAGCCCCCTAAAATCGCTACAGTTTCAGACAAACAAATCGCTACCTAATTTCATGGTTACAGACAAACAAAACTGCTGGTATTCAATTCTCGACTTCCCTTAAAGGTCTCAGGTGTAGTTTTTGAGAAAAATTGATAAAATTTACTACTTTATTATATTTTTAATAAAATCTTCAAACACGCTATCTCCAAGTCGAAAATTGCGCATATGATGTCGGTTAATCAAATATTTGAACCAAATAGCTTGCCTTAGTTCAATTCGGAAGGAAATCTAAGCCTGATTCTCGCTGCCTAAGCTACATTTTTTATTAAGCTGAAAACTCCTAATTTATCCCAAATTGGTCAAATTGGTAGCTTTCGAACACCCATAAAAATAACAAAAAAATTTGCAGTTGAATTACAATTTTTTCTTATTTTTTTTCACCTTGCATAAAACCTTGCAAACAATTGAAATATGACAAAAAAATATGCCAATCAGAAAACGCTTTTATTTTTTTCAGAGTTTATGATATGAACGTGTTAGTATAGATTCGTTTTTTAACAATATCAATGAAAGCACTTTCTTATAAATAATAATGGATCAGTACTGTCAAATCAGTTGCCGAATCAAACTTTCATTGGTTCTACAAGCGTTTAGGCCCTAAGCTAGTTATTTTCCAAAGAAACCGAGAAATACTTGATAAAGTTTTTTCAAAACAGAGTAATTGAACGATGACAAAAGCGCTTAAGGCAATATTTGCAATAAAATAAGCAAGCAATTTTTACTGGGCTCAGTGACTGGAGCAGGAATTTGCAAAAAGCGGTTGTTTGACAAAAAAATTAGTCAACTTTTTGAGAATTGATCGAACTCTGCTGGAATTCAAAATTGACGATATTTGAAAAAATTCATAGCAGGCATTTTTTTTTTGGAAAAATGCGGTTTTTGACCAGTTTTGGACCGTTTTTCAGTAACGAATTGCACCAACTCAAACTTAGCTCCCTTGGCTACCCTCAGAAACTTTTAGTCTTGTTCCGCCGGAAATGGGAGTCATAAAATGGTACCAAAAGGGCACCTTTTGGAAAAGTTTAGCCATCAAAATTTCGAAGCCCGGCAGAGGTCTGCTGCTTACAAAACATTTTGGCCATTGTCCACTTTTCCACCACATTTTCAGTTTTTTCATAATTTTTATTTTTGAAACACTAATTTATTGCTGTCATAATGCAAAAAAGGAAACATTTGCAATTTAGGGGGGGGGGGGGTTTGAAAAAAGCCATCATTTTTTAAGTCG